CATTGCAAGGCCGTCACCATTTGCTTGTGTTTCTTCATGGATGACCTACTAGTTTTTCCCTTCTTCATTTTGGTCTTCTTATTGTTTTTCGCTCCAGAGAAAGAAGAAGAGTTCTTTAGGACTAAATCATCGACGTTAAGATAATGTTCATCTCCAGAAACGGCTTTGAAAGAGTAGATTTTGCGGCTAAGATGTGAGTTCCAATAATTTTTAATTTCGTTGTCTGTTCTTCCTGGTAGATGTGTTGCAATAAACGACCATCTACGCACACACAAACAAAATAAAGACACAAAGAACACACGTGAGACAATTAATATAAATTTCGAAAAATCAATTAGATTATATCTATTCTGTCACAACTTAGCTTTTAATTAATTTAAGACTATACATACATATACGGATGGTTATATACATATGTGGTCTTTTTTTTTTGAACTACACATATGTGGTCTTTAATAGATGAATTTAAATAGATTTTTTTTGTTTGAAAAATATAGCTCCAAGAGTGATCAATATATCGTTGCATTGTTATGATGGCCACCAGACATGATAGTTCTATTCGCTTTGTTTTTTTCTGTACGGTTGGATCCGAGACCAATTCATATGTTTCTAAGTTTTTTTCTTTTCTAAGTTGTACTTTACTGACCCCGACCACTTTACAGTCACAACTTAGTGACAAAATTGTAATACAACAATAAATTCTGAATTACATATAAATTGTGTAATATGTACATGCATATGTGATGAAGTGACGTTGAAAATTTGTTTTATTAAATTACCTGTTGCCGAGAAGGGAATGCAACTTGAAGATGATGTCTTCTTCCTCGGCTGTGATATTGCCTCGTTTCAAGTCCATTCTCAAATAGTTTATCCACCTTAGTCTGCAGCTCTTTCCACATCTCAACAATCCTTCACATTTTGTGGTTGTTATTAGACCATGTAGATATTGAAATCAGTTTGGTATAGAATTTAATTTACAATCAAAATAACATCATAGGTTTCGTTAAGGATTGGCACATTTTTTCATTTTTCCATGCATCAACTACTTCCGTCTCTATTATATTGCCATTTTATAATGCAAGAAACCCATAAACTAAACAAAAAGAACGTCATGGTCAATAGCTTTTATAACAACTTAAAGAACTTAGCAGTTTTTCGAATGTCAAAATTTTAAAAACCACAAATTGTGATATATATATATATATATATATATATATATATATATATATATATATATATATATATATATATATATGTTAAGAAACTAAAATCTGAATATTCGAAGATATACATACCAGCTTTCTTAGGCAATGACCGCCAAGAACCTTCACCATTGGTTTGAATATAGTTAGTGAGGATCTTATCTTCCTCAGTTGTCCATCTCCCTCTCTTCAGCCCTATTTTCTCGCAACAAGGAGCCCTTCCCATATTTTCAATCTCTTTTCTCTAAAGAGAGAAGATAGAAAGAACATAAAATGTTTTGGACCCTTGAGTGAGAGAGAGTGAGTGAATGAAAAGAAGAAACCACCCAGGTGATTAATATATATATAGAGAGAGTACAAAAGGAAAAGAGAGGGTTAAGGTTTAAAAAATATGTCGATTGGTGAAGGAACGAACCACGCAGAGGTGGACTAGAATAAAAGACACTCCACGTACCTCTCCTTCTAACATTTTCTTCTTTTTTTTTTTTTTTTTTTACACAGTATCCGACCACAAAGCGTGATCGACTAGCCCACCGGGCCTAATCTCATGCTATGACAGGATTTTTAAACGTCCACTTTAGGGCCCCTGATTACGCTAAGTGGTCTGGGGCGCCACACCAACTCCGCATGTTAATTATGTGGTGGCCGGGGTTCGAAGTCGTGTGCCGGGCACCTCAGCCGAGGTCCCTCTTTCTACCCTTTTCCGTGCTCAACAAGTTATTTATTACTATGTATACTTTTATACCTACATACGTACTTGGATGTCATGTACATGTAATGTAGCTATATGCATAAACCTACTTATAGTATGCATTTAATGAATGCGTCTTGAAGCGCCAAGTACAAATCTCCTCAAGAGATTTTATCAGTCAAAGTTAAATAAATGTTGAAGAGTATAATTATTAGTATATTCCAAAAGCGTATAATTAACAAATTAGTGTGTATATGGTATACACTATCCGAGATATTTGATGAAGCGATACCGTAATCAGAAAGTGGTCGGACAAACAACACTAGTGTCTAGTGCTACATCGATCTTATAAAATCTGAACAAGAGTCAATGGAGCGAAACACCTCTAGTGACTTTAGAGCATCTCCAACATGCACTTTTATTTTAAAAGGATTCATTCCTAAAGAATTTCCAACAAGTCCATTCATTTTGAAGAAGAAACACTCTCAAAATAATGAGTTGAAGGTGTATTACTCCAACAGTCAAACGGTTATATGCAAATTTATTTTTAAAGAATAAGTAATGTACATTTTAATCTTTAATATTACTAATAATTAAATATAATCATTTAACTTTCATAAACCAGTAAACGTACTATTTAAAAGATATTAAAATAAAATATTTATGAAAATATAATATAATAATATAGTAAAATATAATTAAAAGTAGTACAAAAGTGTGAATAAAATATTTTTAGTCAAAATATTAATTTCAAATATATCAAAAAGTACTAAAATATAATATATAAAAAGTTACTTATGCAGTAGTGAAACATATATAATTGTAGTAACTAAAACAAAAGTAAATAATATTTTAAGAAGGTAAACAATGCACCATTAAATTAAAGATGTACTATTCACCCATTTAAAATTTAAAGATATAAACAATAACAAAATGCATAACCCCTCGAAATGAAAGAATAAAAAGTTGTTGAAAATGTTCTAAAAATAAGAAATTGAGAGTGTGCTGCTCCAATAGTCAACCATAATTTTATTTTTAAAATAATTTGATATCTTCAATATTATTAATAATTAACAATAATCACTAAACTTTCATAAATAAACTATAAAATGATTTTTTTAAAAAAAATAAAATAAAATATATATATATATATATATATGTATAATAAGTATTGATATTATAACTAAAATAGTATAACATGTTAATACAATATTTATAATTAAATATCTATAAGAAAATATAGCGAAAAGTAATAAAATCTGATAAATTATTCTTTTGATTCTTATAAATATATATAACTAAAGAACTAAAATTATAAGTAAATAATATTTTTATAAGGTGAATACTGCACCTTATAACTGTAAAAAAAACTAAAATAAAAAGTAAAAAATATTTTGAGAAGGTGAATAGTGCACCTTTAAATATTAGGGTGCAATATTCACCATCTAAACTTTTCGAGAGAATAAATGTATGTTACAATGCAAAACTTTTCAAAAAAAAGAAAGAGATAAGAAACTATTGAAGATGCTCTTAGAGTTGGCGACAATGGCTATGTTAAAATGACTATGTTTATATATTTGGATCATCTTGGACATTATTCATAAGTGGTAGGCAATTATTTTTCGTCGGTTCAATTACTGAATGATAGCTAGCTTGGTAGGTACTGCTTATAATCTTCTGTTTGGTGTTGTACATGTTCCTATATTTCTCCCATATTTTTCCCATTAATTATTTCTGTAGCAGCTCAGCTTACCAACTTGGAAACAAACGGTAAAGTATAAGATTCTTTCGTAACATGAAAAAATAAGTAGATGTCACTGTGAAGGAATCAATAAAAGACTACGAGGTGAATAGAAACTAGAAAAGTATCCATATCAGGGTAACTAAAAAGTAAAATCAAAATGTAAGTAAAAATCAAGACATCATTATATCATATAGCATAAAATAAAACAAAAGCATATATAGTTTTGGGCATACGTGTATTAAAAAGATGAACGCTGAGTCCAGCTAGCCGCTTATATAATCAAATGAACATACATGAAGTAGTAGAAGTATAGTTTCACCATGAAAGAATGTATATAAGTAATATGTTTATTAATTATCAACCCAAATCAGGTAATGATTACATAAAATTGACCCTTAGTTGAAGCAACTTGAACAACAATTACATAAGTATGCCGGGGAGCTCGATCTATATAATCATGTGAACTTTGCCGTCTATGAAAAATAGAAGTATTGTGCTGGGTTCATACCAGTGTTTTTAAAATGCGGACTCGATGCATGTCTAGGCGCCGCTTAGGTGCTATATAGTAGTCGACCGTATCGTATTCATATTTTTATGCTGATTTATATAACTCAAGCAAGTAATAGCATTTAAGCGGATATTATATGGATGTCTGCGGATTTTAAGATTTAATATTAAAAAAACTAAACTATTAATATCGTTATATAATCTATTAAGGTTATTATATTATATAAATTGGCTTTTTATTTATTTATATGAGTATAGCTATTAGTTTAGCTGTTTGCAATAATTTTTTAATTAATATATTTATCAACTTTATATATTTAAAAAAAAAACTTTTATAGAAAGACTGAATGGCAAAAGGATGATGACACAATATACGAGCCAGTCACGTAGTCATAGACACCATGAGTTTCTTTAGTAACAACGAGAGAAAGCTTTGACATTATACGCACTGCTCTAAATTCTTTTTGTCCTTTGTCCTTCAGCGTCGGTCCACGAAGGGTCCCGTTTGTATAAGAAAATGTATAAAAAGGAACTTATTATAATGGTCATGCATGCAGATCATAAGAATTTCTCTTTTGTGTTATATAATTTCTATAGAACAAAATTTCTAGAATGAATTAGGCAAATAGCAAATCCTTAGGTTAAATTAGACAAACAGAAGCGGATTAAAACGTTTGACAAAGTATATAACAGTTAAATCTTCCATTTCTAGCAGAAGGAATCGCCATGCTACATTATAAAAAGTATATCATACTTCTACGTATTTTTCTGAGTGTGTTACAGAAACAAAAGTTGCAAAGATCAATAAACAAGTGGCTAATCAAAAAGAAAGAAAGTAAAAAGAAAAAACACCCTCTTACAAGACACTTCCAGAAGACTTGTAAGGCAAGGAACCGCGTGAAACAAGCAAAGTAGCATAGAGAAGCTGGTTCCATGAGTCAGGAACTCCAGGTAGACACCAATGGCTACAATCTTGAAACATACCGCTTGCAGGAGAACTTCCTCTCACCTCCACAGGCTGTCTGTAAATCGAAGGGTGGCCATCGGTTCTATACCAAGTCATCTTCGTGATGTTCATGTAAAACACAGGCGTTTTCATATCCGAGATCACTGATTCCACCACTCTCATCATCCATGGATACCCTCCTGTGTACGTCTCGTTCTCTATTGGTCTTGTCTCTCCATCGCATTGCCCTCCTGCATTCCACGCCCCTTTCCTGCAGTTTTAAAAACAAAAGACATTGCTTGAGCTAAAAGAAAATCTTCCACACACTAAACCCTAAACCCAATAGAGTTTTCTTGGACTCAAAGGAACCTAATCTTACCTGCAGACGAACCCATAAATATAAAATCAAAACCGTATGTGATAATGATTGCTTGGGAATAAAACTATTCCTAAACTTTTATGCATTAAAACCTAAGAACAGAGATTGCTTAAGACGCAAGAAACTTATCAAAAAGTAAAATAGAGATTGCTTGGGATGTAAGAAGCCTGCTCTGACTTGCAATGTGAAGATGAGTAAACCTAATAAGACTGTTCCACTCACTAAACCCTAAATAAAAGTAAAACAGAGATAGCTTGGAATACAAGAAACCTAATCTTACCTAAAATGGGAAGAAGAGTAACCAACGAAGAACACTCTAGTTCTACTACTGTTGATACTCGAATCAACCCAATCAGCCCATGTATGTAGAGCTTTTGTATAAGCTTCTTTCACTTCTAACTTTTCATAAACTCTATTCCCCTCCTGGAAATAATCTTTCCTGAAAAAAATTCAAAAACTCATTATAACACACATAAATAGAAAAATTAAAAACTATCTTTTTGTTTCATACCCTTCATTGGTTTTCTGGTGAGTCCACCAATGACCAGTGTTGAACACAACAATATCTGCGTTTCTGTATATCTTCATGATCGATTCTTGGATCATGTCAAGCCTCAACGTCTCTTTCCTCTTCCCGTACACATCTAAAACCTCTGATTCTTGAACTAGAAACGGTGACTTGATGAAGTCTATAGAGCACTCAAAGTCCTTTCACCAAAAACGTTAAAACAACATCAAAATACAAAAACCCAATAATAAAGATCTGAGATTTTTACTTACTTTGAATCTAAAACCGTAAAACCCTTCGTTGTGGAGACTATTCTGTTTTCCAAAAACCCTAGAAACTCTGTTTTTGTCTTCCAAAGTTGACCTAAGTGAACAAACAAGAGACTCCCACATGTTTCTGTTCAACGAGTCCCCAACAAACACAAGCCTCTTCCCTCTCAGAATCTTCAGCATCTTCTCTCCATCAAATCTACACAACCATTAAAATAAAATAAAAATCACAAGGGTAGAATCGTAATTTTAGTTTAAAAAACAGAGTCACTAACCTTGGAACAGAGCATCCATGAGGTTGCCATCGATGACGAAGAAAACCCGAGTCGGGTCTCCCGTTTTTGAAGCAGTTGAACTTGTCTTCGACGTAAGGACAATAACCGGGAAGGTAGACGGGTTCGGAGTCGTCGGAGACCCAAGCTCCGTCGAAGATATCGCAAGAAGTGAGTTCTTTGCTCGCCGAGTCGATCTTTTTTGACTCGTTCTTGACTCGGATGCTTGTGGGGGAGACGGAGTAGAGAGTGTTTGAGTCTGAGGCGGTCGTGGAGAAGAAGTTCGCGGCGGTGAGGAGACGAGAGGTGAAGCTGGAGACGATGAGGGAGTGGGAGAAGTCTGAGAGAGGGGAAGAGGAGAGGAGGAAGAGGGAGATGAAGAAGAGAGAGGTTAGGAGGATTTGGGTTGTTGATGGGTGTTTCGTGATGAGGAAGAGATGCTTGAGATCGGCCATTGTTGACGTAACGTCTCTCACGATCTTCTTGGTCTTGTTGTCTCTGTTTCTTTCTTCTTCTCTGTTTTTCTGGGAAAATAAAAACAAGAAATAAAGGGAGACAAGATCCGACGGTTAATATTGATCTCTCTTTGCGGGGGAAAGGGATATCCAACGGTTAGTATTTAAACGAGCTTTTAATTGTGTATTTCTCTCTTTTATTTTGGTGATCCTCTCATAAAGGTAACATTTCGATTTAGAAAACAAGTCGTTATTAATCCCTTTTGCGTTTTTACTTTCCCTATTGTAGACCATGCATATTTTGATTGACTCAACACGATGTTTTTTTATAAGCAAGAAAGGATCTCGAAAGCATTTACAAAAAGACCAAGTCAGATATACAGGTTTAAACCAAACCTAATAGTAACCTCAGATATGAATCAACGTGATTTATGGGTAAAATCCCATCCACCACATCAAAATGTTCACAAGCTGTTTGTTTCCAAATGAACCATACAATAGAAAGACATCACAACTCCACGCATGCTATAATCAGAGAGATTGAAAGAAATATAAATCTTTAGTTTCAACATCTTACAAGGGGCTCCTTTTACATATAGGAAGTGGGAGACAGAAGTTACTATATCTTTGCAATCGACACACGAAGATAAATCAAAGAAAACATACACATCCAAGAAGCCACCCTTTGGTGCTTCTTTACAGATTTAAAACCTTTCTTGAGTAAATAACCTATCTCTCTATATTATAATGTGAATAAGGGAATAAGAGATTGTCCTTATTTGTTGTTTCTTTCTTTTATATGCGTCCATCAAAGTTGCGGTTGAACCAAAATAGTATGCTTAAGATCACCAATGTGTAACTTATGCTCACCCATTGGGATTCTCCTCATGCCATGCTCATCCACTACACCAAGATGCTTGCAAGCCTCAATATCGACTTTAACGGTCCGTTTTGCACCTGCCGTGACATGAACCTTCTCAAACGCTACCAACTGCTTGTTCACTCCCAATCCTTTTATCCCATTCTCCGGCGGCTCGGCAAAGACGAACACCGTGTGTGTTCCATCGAACTCACCGGTGTTTGACACTTCGACGTGGAGAGGCATTTTCGGAAACGTTCCACAGTTGGCATGAGATACCTTGATGGAGTTAGATGAGGAGTTGAAAATGGCAGTGTTGAGCTTGTAGGATGAAACCGATAATTGGGCTAATGGGCTTTGAGCTAAACTGTGAGTGAAGGTAGTGTAACTTAAACCAAACCCAAATGGAAACACTACTGGACCTTTGTAGAATCTGTAAGTCCTTCCAGGGTAGTTTCCAGATGCTCTCATGGCCATTATCGTCATTGGCAATTTTGTCACGTAATCTTGTGGATACCATGTCATTGGTAGTTTACCTCCTATCATAAGATACATAGCATATTCAATATTAGTTAACAAGAAATTATGAAATGTGATTATGATAAAAGAAAAAAAATGTGATAGTGATGTTACTAATTAATCAAATAAATATATGTAACTAGATCAAGAACATACCAGGGTTAGCAGCACCAAAAATGATATCAGCAATAGCAGCTCCACCCGCTTGACCCGGATACCCGGCCCAAATAATGGCAGCAACACGTGGATCGTTCTTAGCGAAGGATACATCGATGGGTCCACCACTCATAAGTACTAGAATGACTGGACCTCTAGAAGCTTGAGCCACACGTGTCACAAGGTTTTGTTGGTAACCCGGTAAAAGCAGCCCGGTTCGATCTCGTGTCTCTGCCTCTATCGACTGGTCCAGTCCCATTACAAGAACCGTTGCGTCTGCTTGACGCGCCGCCGCTTCGGCTGCATCAAATCCTTGATTCCCTGCACAAGCCACTCCGGCACAACCTTCTTGGTGCAGTGTCTTTGCGTATCTTGAGATTCCTTGTAACGGTGTCGTATAGGCACATGCTTTTCCTAACAAAACCAAAAAGTAATAAACAAAGTTAATATTCTGTATGTAGCTGATAATATTCTAAACAAAGTTAATATTCTTAGAAAAAAATTAATATTCTGTATGTAGCTGATAATAATATAGGGGCCTAATACTAGATAACTTTAGTCTTTAGTGGATAATTTTTTTAACACAAGATACTTTTGTCTATCTTCTACCAAAAACTAAGAAACTTAATATTATGTAACTAATAGTAATATATAATATTGATGGATTATTTTGTATACCTGCATAGTTCCCAATCATGGTCTCAGTGACGTCGGAGTTAGGTCCAATTACGGCAACGGTGCGGTGGCGTCTAGGAGAGAGTGGAAGAGACCGACCAGAGTTTTTGAGAAGAACGATTCCTTGATGGGCCGCTTCAAGGGCTAAATGTTGATGGGCCGGTGTACAAACATCTTTAGGCCCAAGATTAGCGTATGGTCCAAGATTTCCATCAAACATACCAAGCCTCATCTGAACCGTTATGGTATTGGCAAGTGCTAAATTAACATCATTCTCTGTCAACAATCCTTTCTTCACGGCTCCTTCTGTAAATATCGCTAAAAACGGTCCGCAATCCAAGTCTAGACCTGTAAAACAACACGATGTTTTATCATCAAAGTGGTCAACAGTTTGAAACATTGATGTATGGTGGAGAACAACTCACCAGCTTTGATGGAGGCGGCTGCAGCTTCCTCAGGAGTTGTGGTATAGTGTTGTTGATTGAAGAAAACATCTACAGAGTCACAGTCTGATACAATGTATCTGCATGCATTGACATTAAGCTGATGTATGAGAAAGGGGTAAAATGAATATGAACTGTTGATTATGATGACTTTTAATCTTACCCATTGAGACGCCATTGACCACGAATAGTGTTCTTTAATAGATTTTCATCAGCACATGTTGGCTTTCCATTGACTTGATTGTAAGAACACATAACACTTGCGACTTTTCCCTCGTAAACACAGGATTTGAATGGCACATTGTATGTGTCCTCTAAATCTTGTTTGGTGACCTATACACATCATAAAACTTATTAAATAATTAAACCCATTAGCTATCTAAACATACTATATCTCTTGAATTATTATACACATTATTCATGGGTTTTCTGTTAGATTATTATGGTTTGAAAATAGTATGTATGAGAAACGAATCTTTGCTATTGTTATGATATGTTTAAAAGAAGATAATAGGCAATGCGGTTGGTCCTAGTTGGTCCACATGACCAATAAGGATAAGATTCTCCACCACAACAACAACATACGACTATACATATGCCACATCACTGAAAGTCACGTAGCTTATTGGCTTAGCTGGTATATAATGTTAGGTCAGTGTTTTGTTTGTCTGATTGTGACACGCATGCATATTACCATATATATACACACATTTTGCATACTTTATAATAAATTTCATTTTAATTGGATGAAAAGTCTTTTGCAAGATAACGAAGTGACGCACATTCTACGGAACTATAATTAACTAGAGACTGAAACATATCTAGATATGAGTTATTTTCTGAATGTAACGAATTGATAATGAAACGAGATAAAAGACGATAAGCCTTCCAAGAAAACGAATCCTGTCGCATCCAAGTGGTTACTTGGAGCTTTAAATAACAGAAAACGATATAAATAGAGCTTTCTAATTTTAGAACGTAAATCTACATGTTTCATCAAGAAAATCCACTATTTTGTTCTCTTTTTCATTTTTTGAAAACATCACAGAAATATGAAAAAATCTTAAATTAAAATTCTTTTAAGATGTAACAATAAAACAGAAACTCACGGGTTCTCTTCTATTCCCACAAAATTTTAAATTTATAATATCTTATATATTAAGAAGTAATTGGCATTCTTCGACCAATAGAAAAGTTAAATATATACAACATCTAGGCAATTATATATGTGTTCAAAGTTTTTTACATTTTTTTATTTGAAAATATTTATTTAAAATAAACATGCAGTTGAAAAAAGTAAAATTTAAAATAAACAAAAACTTCATATACACACATAAATATATAATATAGATATGAATGTGTATAAGATTTTTATACCTTGGCGTTGAAATGAAAACGGTCGACGCCATTCCAATTATCAAGATCATAAGCAGTGTAATGTTTGCAACATGCGGCGACTTTGAGGCGGTTACCGGCGCCGTTGCCCTGAAGTCCTCTGACGTAGCTGGCGGCGTATTTTCCGGCGACAACAGGATCTTCTCCGGGAGTTTCCTGGCCTCGACCCCACCGTGGGTCCCTCAGTATATTCACATTTGGGCTCCAATACGTCAAGCCGGCCACGCCTCCATTGTACATAGCTCTTGCCTCATCGGACACCACCTTTTATTTATTTTAAAATCATGATAATTCTAATTAATATATTTTTCCATATATACACCTTTGTTTACTAATATACTGAAAGAAAGAAACAATAAACAAAAGATTTATAATTCGCTGGTTATCATCGTTTTTATTAATACAAGAACTACATATTTTTATTGATTTATGTTTTTTTTTCTACCTGTCTGACTTATTCGATAGACTCATGTCGTAGTCAGATAACAAACATGTGAATTATAAAATTCAAAGAAATAAATAAATATATAAACATATCCGCTAAATCAAACTCTACTGCACTGACCGCTACGATGTTGATGTCGAATTGTCGATGTCGTTTTTTACGTAAATAAATCACAAAATTCTCAACGTTTTTGAAAAAACTAGAATTCTCATTTTTTTAAAAAAATGTATATTGTTTAATTAGCATAATATGTCAAATTTATACTCACCCGTCCGATCTCTTCCCATAGAGACTGGTTGAAAGAAGCTGCAGTGGTGATGACCTGAGGGAAGCTGGTGGCACCGGGAAAAGCACCACCAAACTTAGCACCGGGACCAACGTCAGAAACACCGTGGAGAGCCTCGGACCACCACTCATAGCCTCCAATACCTAGGCGTGGCACAGCGGCGGCATTATTGACAAGGAGGCGGATCTTCTCCTGCAACGTGAGCCGTCCGATCAAGTCTTG